CTCTGAAAAACACTGTTGTAAAACAGTGCTGTAGCTGTCTACAAGGCCAGATAGCACTCACTGGCCCTCAATAAGGCTCCCCAAGCACGCCTTGCTCCTGGCTGCATCCCTGCACCCCATCCTTGGTGTCTCCAGGTTGTGCAGAGCAATAAAACGCTTCACATAGGACAGGAATTGCAAAACACCACTAACTCCCAGAGCTGCAAAAGGGTCTCACAGCTCAAGACCCCAGCGATGGGGGACGCTGCATCCCATGGACCCATAGTGTTTGGGGGTCCTCCCGTAGATGTACTGGGATTTGGAAATGCTGTGTTACAGCCAGGGTCAGCCCGGGTCAGCCCAAAACGCTGCCCAGAGCAAAGCACCGTTGCACCTCCCTGGGGACAACAGGTTGGGCCCTACCAGATGCCAGGAGCTCCAGTCCAGCCAAGGAATGCTGAGGGACAGCGGCCCTGTCCCACCCTGCCCTCCCTCAGCCCCACGCTGTGCTGCCATCCTGGCAGGTCAGGGGTGCTCCTAAAGCCAGCTGACCCCTCCGCCTGCCCCATCCCACAGCAGCCCCACACATGGGAGGCAGCACAGCCTGGTCATGCTGCCAGCACCAGAGTGCCCAAACCAGCCACGTCCCAGCCTCAGGCTCACCTCCCCACGGCTGCCACAGCCAAGGTACATGTGGAGAGGGGACAGCACAGGCACCGTGGCTGTGACTCTCCTGCCACGTGTGGCAAGAGGAGTGTCCCACATTCCCTTTTTCTCCTGCCAGAAACCATTTTCCATCACAACTTCCACTGTTTCAGGGAACAAGGTCAAAGCAGGGGGACATATTCCTCCTTTTTTGGAATTAAAAAAAAAAAATTATTTCTGAGTCCTTCATAAACAGGGGGGCACAGAGGAGCCTCAGCAGACATGAACACTGCTGGAGGGGCTCCAGTCCTACTGCAGGACTCTGCCTGCCCTTCCCAGCACAGGGCTGGCCAGAAGCCTCTCACCTGCCTGCTAGCTTTTCTGAAGCAGTTATCATCTGAGGTAACCCAAGGAAAGCAAAAACATTTCATTTCCAGAGGTGTTGAGTGCCCTTGGCACTTACTGGCTTCAAACTTGGATGCTCACTGCCCCCAGCCCTTGGCTAATTTTCACCATCACACGGTCTCTATAACAGCAGCAGAGAAACAGATGACTTGGGAGACACATTGGGCAGAGAAGGCACAGGCGAGGGGGGATGCAGTGCTTTCCCTTCTGCCCAGCCAGCGCCCTTATGCACGTAGCTCCTGCACAGACTGGATCTATAATACTAATTAATGGCTCATTGTTTGTTCTGGGGGTTTATTCCCATTATTGGCTACACCTCCTTATGAACTCCTACACTTAGCAGATCTTACAGCGATCCCAAAAGGTACTAAAATAAACCTTCCATGTAAAACCTAGGAGCAAACCAATGTTTCAGCTTTAGGGGAACACAACCTGCCCAACTATGCTTCAAAGGACATCTGAGGGCCCAGCATTGCTCAAGAGCCTGAAGAAAGCATTGAAAAATAGGAAACAACTTATTTGGTTTATTTATTTATTTTTGCTTTCACACATCTCTTATTTTAAAAGACTAAAAACATGTTTATGAATTTAGCATATTTAAATGGATCAAAATCTGTTTAGCTAGGAAGGAAAACAACTCTCCCACCCCAAACTTCTTGTGGGCTGGGACCTGCTTTTCAATCTTCCACCCACAGCAAATATTTAAAATCCCTTTTTAAGCTGAAAGGCTGCTTCTGGGGACAGATCAGGGAGAGGACCTGTGTGTGGGGCTGTTCCACCACTCTCCTCCGTCATTGCTCCAAGCACCCCTTACCCAGAGAGAGTCGGGGACACCTGGGCAGAGAGGTCAACTGAGAAAGAGGGGACAATAAAGGCATCTGTGTGTGGGGAGAGCATCCAGGGAGGATAGAAAAAATGAGAAGCCTTCCGTCCTCCTCCATCAGCAGCTTTCCACAAGGAGGATCAATGCAGCCCACTGTAACTGCACCGTTGTTCCATTTTTAATTAATGAAAGAAAAAACTAATCATTGAATTAAACTTCTCATTACTCCAGCTGAATACCCACTAAGTAAATTTAATTACTCTACGAATTGGGTTTCTCCCTGCCTGTTTCATTAGCTACTGATAAAGATGAAGGGGGGGGGGGGGGGGGCAGAAGAGAGGGATAGATAAAAACAGGGAAAGAGAATGGAAGATGGGAATACAAAATGCAAAAGCAGAGGTAGATGATTCAGCACATTTCAGGGGCCTCCAGTAAGGGCCTGGGGAAAGACCCTCCCATCCCTCCCAAATCAGGCTAAAGGGATTCCCTGTGGAGTAAACCCCCTTCCTCCAACCCACCTCCTGCCCAGGGACAACCACCGTCTTCCAGGCCCACGTCACACGTAAGAACATACAGCCCCACGAGCTCTGCCTCTGTGCAGCTACCCCACGGCCCAGAGGCTGGTCCCTGCTCCACGCAGCCAGGAGCTGAGCTGTACTCAGGCACAGGCACACTGCAAGGACCCCGTGGGCATGGAGGCCACACAGACAAGGTCCTACCACCCTCCCCAGCACCACCCCTTGCACACCCGGGGTTCAGGGCCACCTGCGGAACAGCAGGCAGAGGCTTGAGCACAACTGGCTCCCCCCCCAAAGAAGGGCAGACACCAATTTCAGATCTGCAACAACCCTCCCTCCCTTCTGATCTCGCATAGCTCCGAAGAGCCATTTTTTGGCTCTGCAACAAAGGCAGCAACCCTGTCACACTTCAGCAGGAAGCTAGTGGTGACAAAAGCATGGGGAGCACATGAGAATGGATATCAAACACCTGCTGTCCCACCACATACCAAGACACCTGACTGGTACTCTTTGTATTTTAAGCCTTTCCTCTGCAGTGGGAGTCCTGCACACCCCGGTTGCTGGGAGCCTGGGACACGCCAGCAGCACGCTCCTCCTAGGAAATCAGCGGAGGATGCATTCCTGCAGCTCCCCCACCCCTCACAACTGCTGCACAGATTTTGTTTATGGCACGATTTTGGGTGTCTCCTACTCTCCCACTACAATTCAGCCCTCCATTCCTCCTTCCTGACGAAAGGCATGAGCCATCTCAGCGCAGGTACAGCCCCACACCAGGGAGGAGTCTAGCAGCCCCCACCAAGAACAGCAATCTCCCTTCCAGCACATGCCTCCACATCCAGAAGTTCTGCTATGTGACTGGTGATAAGGTCACATTTGAGATAAACTGGGGGTGGAGAGGGTGTGGTGAATGCAAAGTGCAGCCTCCTCTAATTAGGTAGCTTCAGCTGAGCTGAGAGCATGGTGGAAGGTCTACCCAGGTGCTCACAGTGATGGGATTTCACAAGTATGATCAGACTGTCTCCTCTTCATCATTCAGGGGCCAAGAGGAGCTCATGCAGGCTGCTTCTGCAGCCCCACACATAGGGTCTCATTCACCAGAAGGCACTGTCCCCTCTGCCCTCGCAGTGCCCAGCTGCTGCTCTTCTGCAAGCCATGGTGCTGCTGGGAGGTGGGGTTTTCCCTCATTCCCGTGACTTTGCTACATCTTCTGACCAAGGCAGCATGTTTGAAACCATCCCTCCATGCTTTGGCCACACAAGCCAGCCACACTTCTCCCTTCCCTCCCTGCTGCTTCCCCAGTCCTTTCCTGCTCTACTCCCTCCCCAGCCTGGCAGGCTCCTTCCCCAGAGAGGTTTCTCCTGTGCAGGACAAGCCCAGCTGCAAAAGCCTTCCAGGCAGACCAGAAGGTCCCGTCAGTGTCACACTTGTCCCCCCTCTGCCTACCCATAACTGGACTCTCAAACACCAGACAGGGAAAGCATTGAGATAGCAGGCACAGGTGCTGATCTGGCAGGGTGAGACCTGCCACGCAGCTGTGGTACCCAGCAGCAGCCAGCACAGGTCTGGGCACCAGTGCCAGTGGCCACCACCACAGCCTCAGGGCTCCGGCGCATCCCCGGGAGGATGCCAGCTCCCAGGTAGGTTCAGCACAGCATTCCCTCCTCTCAGGCACAAGCTTTCTGCCTTAGCTAAAATTAGCTCCCACAGTCTCTCCTGCCATCCTTGAAGTCATTGGTACAACATGTTCTGCCACCACAGGCTCTTCCCAAGCTCTCACTCAAAAACCCCCAATGATGCAGAGTACGTGCCTCGCAGCTCCGACTCCCTCGCACACACAAAGCAAATAACCCCGCAGGTTTTGCAGCCGCCACCTCCCCGCTCTCCACACTGAGGGCACAGCTTGCACCTCCTGCCTGCCGGGGCTGCCCAAAGTCCCTTCTGCTGCCCACCACCGCAGCAACCCTGGCGTAACACCCATTCCTCCAGCTTTCAACCTCAACAGAAACATATCCTGAGGATTTGGGCTGGGAAAACCAGGGGATGGGGGTGGTGGTTTTGGCTTGGTTTTTGTTTTGGTGGCCAAATTGAGAAAAGAAAGTAATTCAGGTTGACTGCAGGTTTGTTTTGGGTTTTTTTTTTTGTTTTTTTTTTTTTTTTTTTTATTTTGCCAATTTTTGAAACCCCAGTAATAATCTGGGGCTGAGTGAAACATTTTGTTTGGTCTGAAGTGAAGCTTTCATTTTGTTTGCAGGTGGCTACCCCCCACACTGAAAAAAAAACCCTAGAAAAAATTCAAAATGAAATGTCATCTCGAAACAGATGGCTGAAAGGTTTCATTTTGAAAATGTCAAAATGAAACTTTTCAGTGTTTCACTTTTTTTTCCCAGCCAAAACCACTTGCTAAATACAACCTGAATTCGTGAGCTGTTTCTGTTGACTGAAACCTGAATTATTTGGTGCATAAGCTGTTCACTCAAAGCCTTTTTTCGCAGGCCTGCGTACGCACCCCACGCTGTGCACCCTGCTGCAGCAGGGGGATGCACGTGGAGCAAACAGGAAAGTGAACGATGCAGCATGTCCTTCTCCAGAGAAGTAGCACAGGTAAGGAAAGCAAAAGCCCAGGGACTTACCGTGGCAGCAGACCTCTGCAGCTTCGTTTTGGGTGCTGGAGGGGCTTCCTGTGCAGCAAAGGAAGAGGGGGGTGCTGCAGCCCCGGGCGGGAAGGACAGGGTGGTCCTGCCTGTCTCATGGGACCCAACACGGAGCAGCGGGGGCACCTCACTCAGCCCCGGACGTGCAGCCCTGCAAGACAGGAGGATGGGGAGAATGTGAGAAGATGCTAAAGGGAGAAACAGCCTGCTTAGGCAGAAAAGGAGGGAGGTGTTGAAGTTTGAGGCCAAGCAGAGTTAAGGGATAGGGCAAGGTGGTGGCAGCGATCAGCTCTGGAGCACTGGCTGGCGTCAGCTCAGCTCTCTGACTCCACCTTCTCCCCCATGCAATGGTTTTCATCTCCCCTTGCCCTCCTCTCAAGGTGCACTTGCCCATCTGCTGGCTAGCACAGGGCGCTCTCTGCCAGTGGTCACACAAGAGAACCAGGAGGCCTCCTGATGGATGTATCACACCAGCAAACCCAAGCCGCCCCACTGGAGACGACCTCCAGCAGGAGTTGCTCGCTCCTTCCTGCCCATGGTCATCAATCATTGCAACTAGCCCACACCATGGCAGCACTGGCAGAAGTCAGAGGAAGGTTTGGCCCACCTGACCTCTTTTGCTCAAGGAGGGATGATGTTCATTCCAGAGCTGGTCAAAATCAGATCCCAGGGTGAGGTCTAACCACCAGCTGGGAACCAGCTCATGACTGATCAGATCTTACTGACAGCAAACCCAATGGCCCCTCTCTCATGTCCCAGGGCCATGGGAGGGAGGTCCTGGGCGCTAGTCCCTGCCACTGCCTTGTGCCAGGACCACAGCCAGGTGACTCCATCCCTACACCCCAAGGCCTGTCCCCCAGATGGGTTTCTAGGTGACATTGTGATACTGGAAGGCAACAAGCCCCCTGAGCCATACACACAAGGCTCACACTTTCAAGCAAGCAGGAATCAAGTTTCGATTGCAAAGTTCACTCCAAGAGCTTTCAAGCACAAGCAAAATCTGGCAGCCCCAAATTCTGCCTTGAATTCAGGGCCTCGCACAATAAGGGAATGGAAATATTTTAAATTTGCTTTAAATGTGCCATTGCTCCCCAAAGAGCTGCAGGATTCCCAAGGTGCACTGGCAGTGTGCAGTGGAAAGCAGCTAAACAGGCCAGATTCAGGAGGGTGCTCCCCAAAAAAAACCCCGTAAAAACTTTAATCCAACCCAAAGTTGTAGTTATAAAAATCTAGTTGATGTTCCACAGGAGCTGGGTAAGGAAGTCACATGCCACAAAATCCTACGAAAACAAGAGCTGACACCTAAACTTGAAATCCTCAAGTCAGGTACAGAGTTCAGTTTAGAAACTTAGCTTCATTTTCTTTTCCCTTTTTGCCTCTGGCTCAGTGGCACTGAGATACTGCAGGAGCATTACCCTTCCAGCACGAACATGCACCACAAAATGCCAAGGCTTGTGTCAGAAAACCTGTTTTTGAAAGATCACTAGCCCGATTGCTAGATGAAAGAGGATTAGATGAAGCTTAGACTAAGCATCTCAACCATATCAACCCATAAGATGATACTCAGCCATTGCTACTGCTAAGGTAAAGACAGATTTATCTGCTAAGAGAGAAAAATCTTACTTCAGAGAACCCTCCTTGGCATGAAGAGGGGTATTTGCCGGGTCCTCAGTAGGCAGCTACGTGTCCACAGGGGCAGGCCAGGCCTGGCTGCCCGCAGGCAGGAGCCTGCCGGATGGAGTCACATGGAGTAAGAGCCAGAATCGCTCCAAATTCAAACCTCCTCCCAAGTTCAGGGGGCGGCAATCGGAAATTAAGCCCATCTGTTCCTAAGATATTGTGCTAGCAGAGAGGTGAGGAGACTGAAAATCTGAGCTCTAAAAGAAATCAGAAGCACTAGACAGAGCCAGTGAGCTGCCCATCAGGGACGGGATGCTATGTCTCAGGCTCACTGCTGCATTGAGTTTGGAGATCTCAGTCCAGACCACAATTAAATATCTTGAGCAAGGTTGCTGCAGCAGCACATGGGCCCGGCCTGGTAAGGATGAGATGGGACAACCCGAACTCCCCAAACCTCGTGGATGAGGTTTGCAGACAAAGGAAGGGAAACTGAGGCAGGCACCAGCGGTGCGAGGGGCTGGCAGGCTGGTGGTGCCGTGCCAGCTCTGGAGCTACCACAGCCAAACTCACCAGCGAGCCACACCACTGCAGCCATCCCAGCCCTGGCAAGCGTGCCTCGTCACGTGGGACTGTGTTCCAGAAAAGAATATTAAGTGATCAGTCTGTATTAAAAATGACCGGTTTTGATGTGTTTAGAAGAAAACATCTCCCATTTTTCTTCTCTGAGCCCACTTTTCATGTTAAGAATATCTTAATTTTTTTTTTTCTACCCCCAATCCAAACTGCTGTCAAGCCCAAACACTCACTTTGCATTTTTGCCACATTCATTCAAATCAATCATTCAAAACCAAACCAAACCTCCACATTTTTCTCTTCTCCCTTCAAGGAATGATGCTAAACCACTCAACCAGCCTGGAAAACCATTTTTCCCTTGGTTCCTGCTAAAAGCCAGGACAGCAGGGTGTTGGCTGGGAGCAGAGGCTCAGGAAGTAGCAGCCAGGTGGGATTTGGAAGTGCTGCCTACAAAGCACCTCTTGGTGCCAGGACATTAAAAAAAGCAATTTTTACACAGCCTTTATCCCTGAGACACACAAATAAGGGAGGAGAACAGGATCAGATGTGGGGAGACAGGGAAATTTAGGAGCAAGTCCTGAGCACCACTCAGGTTACCTATGGCCAGGCCAGCAAAGGAGATGAGGTGGCTACAAGGAGGCACATCCAGCATCAGGACTGGGGCAGGTCCCTCATGTTTACAAGTAGTAGAAACTCAGATTTAGCAAAGAGTATTTATGAGTATTGAGGAAAAAAAGCCATGCCACAGGGAATAACGGGGCTTTCTTGTGGCTGGCAGCTGAATGGAATAAATCTATCCACTGGGCATAAATTGTTTAAGCAAAAAAAACCCTCTCAACTTGAATATTGTGCAAGAAAAATAGCAACAAAAAAGGAAAGAAAACTCCGAACCCTCATCATTTCTCTCCTCAAGGTCAGAGCTGTTATTCTCTTCTGTGAAGGAGAAAAACCACCTTTCACTAGTAAGTTTAGACAAAAGAAATGAAACATTTGGGAAGTGAGCGCATTACTGCCTGGACTGACCTGCCTGGATGAATTAGGCTAAATATCTCTATTTAACAGGGAGTTATCTTTCAAAAGCAAGTTGTGGGGAGGCTGGGTGGTGGGGCAGAGGGGCAGTCTGGTGCAAGCAAGGAGGAGCACAGTGCTTCAGTGATCGGGTCAGTGCCTGCTCGGATGGGGATGGGGCAGGACCCCAGAACCACACAGGGAGCCCTGCTGCATCTCTGACCCCAGGGGCAGGATCCTGCTGCCATTCCTGGTCCACTCCTGCCCTCATCCCAAACAGAGGCACCAGCCCCTCCTGTCATCTCCAGGAGGTGACCTGGGTGGGGCACACAGCAGGGATGGGGCAGAGGCACCCAGGGGTAAGGGAGACATCAGCTACTGGGGGTACAGCAGTCAAGGAGAGCAGCCTTGTGTCAGAGCAAAGATCTAGAGCCTCTTCAGTTATTATGCAGAGACTGTACTGAGGTTGCTGCTTTAGTGCACTGCAGGCACTAAATTAAGGGGACATTTACAACCCACAATGCAGAGAAGCAGCTGCTAAAGGTGGTCATGGTGAGTGACTTCACCTCTGGGTGAAAGGCTCCATGAAATCCCAGCCATGAGGGATCAGGCTGGGAAAACAAGTCCTTCCTTCCACCTACTGCTCTACAGGGCAATACCAGGACATCTCTGGGCACCTAGGGCAAGTGGGGACCAGCAACAACCCACTCTGCTCAGTGCCAGACAGGTGTCTGAGACCTGCCCTGTTTAGAGGGGATGCAAAGCCCACTGAGTACTGAAGTTTGGTCCAACTAGCAGAGTCCTAGTGTGACAAACTGCACCAGCACAGCACTCAGCTGGCACAAACCCAAGGGATCTGCTCCCCAGAAATGAAGCTCCCCCAGACCAAGCCTTGCCCAGGCTCTGCACAGCACAGAGCAGCAAGGCAGTTGTCTGGAGCATCGAGCCGTTCCTGGTGGCAAAACAAAAGCCCTGGTGCCTGCTTAGTCTTTTTCACTGCCTCAATAGCCAAGCTGGCCACAGCTACCAAAAATGTCATCGTACTGGGTGACAGCTCCTGTGGCTCCTCCTGGGAGCAGCCAGCATCCTTCCCTTCCTCCTCCCACACCAAGCCCAGCTCAGCAGGGCTTTCCACCCAGCACTGCTCCTTCCTCCCTGTCCTTGTCCGGCAGGAACAGCCAACTCCAGCACTGGCCAAAACCCAGCGTGCCTGCACAGATGAGACAGCCATTCCCTGTGCTTCCCGTCCTGCCCAGTGCTGCGGCAGTGCCCAGATCATTTGCTGATGAGTGGCACCAGGACCTTTTCCTTGCAGGTCCAGGGATGTACCATGCTGTGCTCAGTTATGCAGAGAAGGGGAAGGCTCTTGGTGGGAGTTGGCATAGACCTATCCCAACCCAAGGCACCAAGCCCAGAGGCAGTCACCTCCTGGAAGTGGCGGAGGAAGCAGAGGAGGACAAGGGGAGAGCAGAGATGAGCCAACACGCACATAAAGTGAGGAGAAAGGGATTAACTCTGCTTCAGCCAACACAAAGCAGGAGGGTGTGCTGTGTAGGGATCTCAAGGTCGCAGCACGCTGTGCCAACCAGCACACACATCAGCTTTCATCAATAATTTTGCTGGGTTGAGCGTGCAGCTGTGGAGGGGCTGCGATGGGGGGGACATTTCTACCCAAGCAGAGGGAATGGCAGCGATGGGTGGGGAGGCACCCCTGAAGAGGGCTGCAGCACTGCAGGATGCTGGGCACCAACAAGACTGACCCACTCACTGAAAATAACAAATGGCATCATGCTCGTGTCTCTGCAGCTTGTAGATCCTTTTGAGAAAGTTAACTCAATGTATTAATACCCAAAGCCCTCCAAAACCAGGGTGTTTCCTGCCTGTAGGAATTTTCAGCCACTGTAACCAACTCCTGCAGTGTGAGCCATTTGCTTGGAGGCACCATGTGTT